TCTACTTTTTCTCTTTCTGGAGACTGTTTTTTCCTTTCTTTTCTTTTCTTTTCTTTTCTTTTCTTTTCTTTTCTAAAAAGCTGCTTTTTAAAGCTTTTTAGTCATGTTGAATAACAGAACAGCATGTCCAGCTTTAGTCAGCTTTATAAGTTCAGATATGGATGTCAAGTAGCAATTTTCTCCTTAACTCCAGGGCTAGGTTAGCTGCAATTGAGGGCAGCCTTTTAAAAAAGGGCTTTTATTTTACAATGCCGATATAAAAATAATCATGTAAATACAGTTGTTTTTATAACGATCCCAAATCCTTGTAGCTTTGATGTTATACCAGTCTGGAAAGAATTTTGAATAGTAATCATAGATTTATGACTATAGAGTAGTACAGTAGGTAATAAACACTGTATGACTAACTCTTCTGCTTAAGCTTTTCAAGGAGTGTTATCAGGGGAATGATTAACTATATCCATGAGGACTAGTCAGATGTGACTGACATAAACACATTCATCAATAGAGTCATACCATGGACACATTTCAATACCCACCTTTAACACTTAATTCATAAGGAGTGCCTGCAGTAGAATCCCCTGCTACTTCCCTTTCAAATATTTATTGAGACTATTGTCAGATTGGAAACCTGGCTTAAAAGAACACATATTTACAGAGCAAAATATGAGTTCCTAGCCATAATTTTCAGCCTTTCAATCTTAGGAATTAGATTTATTTATTAGTACAACCTTGATCCAATTTATTCTTTGGGGTTAGCACTGGGGAATATCTCTATGTGAATTGTAAAGATCTGCAGTGTTGATATAATATTTGTTCTTACATATGATTTACAAACAATAGACATGTAAAACATTCACCTTTATTAGTTGCCTTGTATCCAAAAGCAACATGGTGCTTATGACCATGTTGAATCCATATGAAAAAGTTTGGAATTACTCTAGCCGTCCAGTCTAATTTAAATATAGGCTAATAGTTAAATATTTACCTGAAAGCATGTTTGACTAATGACTGCCAAATTTTGAAGAGATGGATATAGTCTCCGACACTAAAATTTCTTGCCTCTTCCTTTTCTCATGGATTCTCAGTAATTTTATATATAAAATGTTACAGGATGTTACATTTGTTATACAGTAGCATCTTGTTTGAGGAAGTCATGTTTTCATTAGCAGTTCCTAATTCCAGTTCTGAGTACTTTCTTTAAAATAACCATCTCCAATAGAACTATTGCAGTAACTCCAATAGAAATATTAGTGAAGAGAAATTTATAGAAGAGATTACAATGGAATGTGTGTGGTTCCAAGAGTGACTGTTAGCATTTCCTCTTTGTATATGTTAATGATTGCTTTATGAGTGGCAAAGTCCAAATGTTTGATTACTAACTACCAACAATTGTATCATGAATTCTATTTCTTTCCGGTTAGGTGATTGATTGTGAGTCTATTAAAAATCTTTGATCTTTGAATTATGAACTAACTCTAGGGCAAACGATCCCTAATATGTATCTCATATGTTACATAAAAAATAAGGGATCCAATTAAGGGTCCATGTCTGTTATTTGTCCGTTTTCAATTTCCATACATTGCCACACAGAATTCCTTGTCAATTCATGAAGTATAATGTTTCATTAAACAGAATCATGCCATTGGCTCATTTCATCTGGTGTTGTATGTAATAATAGTGGCAGCTTTCAGGGTCCCTGTTAGGAGTGCTTACTATCTTTGTCTAAAGATGCTAGGAAATAATCCTAGGACTTCTTGTACACAGAGCTTATGCTCTACCAAAGGTATAGCCTTTCTTTAATTGACTTTAAACCCACAAGTTTAGGATATTTGATCCAGATTATGTTTACAGTAGGTTTTATACATACATACATGCTTACATATATACATGCATACATACATACATACATGCAGGTCTTGGCGTATTCGGGTCTTTTCATGTGTAAGATTGAGTATCTTGGCAATGTTTTGACAAGATCTCTCAAAAACGTATTAATTTCCAACGGATTCCAAAGAAACANGCTGAACTGCAGATAACAGTCAGCTGAAGTGGCCTGCAGTACTGTACCCTAACCACTGCACCACCTCGGCTCAACAATAAACACTTAAACTACAAATATGAGTTGCTAAAAGATAAGTTTTCATATGCTTGGCTTAGGGCTAACATTACATATTTTATACAGAAGCCAACATATTCTCGTGAACCTTTTGATTTTCCTTCTTCCAAATAGAAGCAGAATTTGTACAAAAGTCTGAACAGTATCTGCTACTCTGAACAATCAAGCCAAAAAAGACTACCAGTGGACAATGTTTATGTGACTCCAGCCATCCATGTAGATCAGAGGTGGAGTACTATGGCCCCTTTATGACTTGTGGACTTCAACTCCCAGCATGGCTGGTTCAGGAATTCTGGGAATTGAAGTCCATGAGTCATAAAAGGGCCATAGTTCCCCTCCTGATATAAAAGGTCAATTCCCAATTCTCTGTGGTAATATTCTTTCACCTCTATTACCTCACATAAGCCATTCTTTCCCCTTTCTTGCTTATATTGACTTTAACAAAAAGCTTGGCAACCTTCAGGGATGCCAAGTGTGACAGAACAGGTTTCTAGAAATACCTAAGTTTTCTAAACTGCACATCTAAAGTGCCAAACGAATTATTATACAAGCAGTCCTCACTTAACAATTCAGTGACCATTCAAAGTTATGACATTGTTAAACAAATGGGTCTTATCTTCAGTCCTTGGTGACAACCACTGCATACAAATATTTTAAATAAACAGACAACAATACTGGAGACTAAAGTGATATGTCCTTAAATTGATTTTGCAGTTTGCACTACAGATCTATACATTTACACATATGCAGAGGAAATTGAAAGTTGCAACTTCAAAATATTTTTAGATGTTTATTTCAAAATTTTATATGGCTTCCCAACTTGTAAAGCACAACTTTGGATGACTCTGAATTTTCATTTAGTATTTATACTATCTACCATAATTATTATTAGACTCATATCCTGCTTTTTCTCTGGGAGCTCAATACCATCCTTTTCTCTGATGTCTTCTGTAACTATCTGTGGGGTATACTGGATTAAGAAACAGTGAGTGGCCCAAGAATGTCTATGACTGATCCTGGATACAAATCTGGGATCAACAGTTTAACCATAATTCCTCTTAAAAGATACCCGTAGCTTTCTTTTTAAAAAATTCAATAGACTATACAACTTGTATCCTTATGGGAAAAAGAATAAGGTAATATTATATTTATTCTGTTTTCCCATGACGTGATACAGGTTATGTTTACTCCACAATAAACTAGAATCTACAACACTTACATAAATTTATATAATCTTATATTCCTATACAATATTTATATAATCTGCATTTTAATGTACAGTCCTTTTGCTCCAAACTGACTCTGCTAAACTAATCAAGAATTCAAACTCCAATGTCCTGCTGAAAAGTTCATACTTGCTAAATGAAATCTGCAGAATTTGGATTCTTTCCTTTGAGGCTTTGGATAAATGTCACCTATGTACTTATTTATATCCCTCCTTTATTCCGGCATATATAGAAATAATATTGTGAGAGTGGGATTATAGTTCTCCATATGCTGTAAAATGAACTCTTCCAGTAGCCCAGGTTAATGTGGACAATGCTGAGGATGTTGAGATCTAGCACTGAAGAAAATTTAGAGGACCACAGCTTTCCTACCTGGATATAGAGGCAGTCTTTGACTTACTACCACAATTGAGCTACAATTGAACAGAAACACAAATTTCTGTTGCTAAGTGAGACAGTTGCTAAGTAAATTTTGCCTCATTTTATGACCTTTCTTTCCACAATTAAGTGAATCACTGCAGCTGATAAGTTAGTAACCCAGCTGTTAAGTGAATCTGGCTTTCCCATTGACTTTTCTTGTCAGAAGGTTGCAAAAAATGACCTTGGGACACAGCAATGGTCATAAGTATGAACCAGTTGACAACTCTGGATTTTGATCACATGATCATGGGGATGCCAGAAAGTTGTAATTATGAGAATCATAAGTCACTTTTTTCAGTGCCGCTTTAAGTTTGAACGTTACTAAATGAACTATTAAGTCAATGACTATCTATACATAATTATTCTTTCTGTAATACTACTCTATCATTTACTTGTTTTTCTGGAAAAAGCCGTTTCAACAGAATTATCCCACGCATGTCTACTCAGAAATAAATCCTGAGTATAGCTTTGAATGAACTATATACTTTTGAACCTATTACAGATTAATATTATCCATGAAGTTACTGGTATATTTCACAGCTGAGTTCCTAGTTATCTCTCAATAGATGCATGTGATGTCATATGTATGTCATGTCAGGGAATTCCTCTCTCTGAACAAGTAGCAAAGGAAATATGATTCAATCCAAGTTTTGTCCTATCATGGTAGTTGTAAGTTACCTAAGACCCATAAGCCATAAACAACCTTTTTTGAGAGGTTTCACTTACCCCTAATTCATTTTGCTGTCCAAGAGACTTCAGACAGAAATCCTTCAGATTTTCATAAGGATCTGCTAAAAGATCTTTATACTGCACATCATAGTACAGATTGGGCCTGAAGCAAGGTGTCCTGAAAGTGGCAACAGGCTGCTTTAACTTCAGCAGGGCTATAATATCTTCCTGAACTTGCTTAGTAGCTGTGGCTGTCAGGGCTATGCATGATATATTGGGCATGCGACAACGCAAGGAGCCAAGATGCAGATAGTCCGGTCGGAAGTCATGCCCCCACTGGGAAACACAGTGAGCTTCATCAACTACCAGATAAGAGATAAGATTTTGAGATATTAAACGCTCCAAGGAGGGCCGAAAAGAAGCAGAAGCTGCCATCTCTGGAGTGATGTACAGCAGCTTTATCTTAGGATGGTCACTTGTCAAGTCAGCAAGGATGGCTTTTCTCTCCTGAGCGGACATCTTGGAATTGAAGGAGCTCACTCTAACTTTGAGAGAGAGCAAATGATCCACTTGGTCCTATGAGAAAAGAGAAAGGTAACTTTACAGAAAGAATCTGACCAGCAAACTGTTGCAACTTGAAGACATTTATGATCATCTAACTATATTTAGAATTTTCAAACACATTTATTATACATGCATTTTTTTATTTTAGGTCCTTAAGAGTATTCTTTAAACTACAGTGATTGAAATTACCTACAGAATTTGATTTGCCTCTATTTAATTAAACAAGTTCATTAAAAAAAGATGACAATGAGCAAAATCCAATATAGTACCAAAGATTAAAAACAATGGATTAATTCTTTGAATTTTTATTTATGTGAAACTTTTAAACACCTCTAAAGTTTGATACAGAAAGATAATTCAGAACAATTACATATATAATCTTACTGTGGTAATATCCAAAGGCCAAAGAAAATGCTAATTCCAGAACTTCCAATTACTTTCAGTTATGAGATTGAATTATACAATAACCTGTAATTATTGATCTGAATTAAGCTAACAAGCTCTTCAGAAAAGGCAGATTCTAAGACATTTTTCTATTTAAAGAAATGTATTTCTTCTTTCAAATAATTGTAAAAGATACCTGAATAAGTGAAATTAATGGCGAAATCACTATTGTGATGCCCTTTGCCAAAACTGCTGGAAGCTGGTAACACAGGGATTTCCCTGCTCCCGTTGGCATACATACAAAAACGTCCTTTTCCCCTGCAAAAGCAACAACAAAATGCACAAAGATTTGTTTTTTCAATTACAAGTGTCTCCAGATTCTGATTTGAAGACCAGAACAACTTGTTTCCTAGGATATGCATAGGATATCAAACTTTATATATATATCCACATAAGCACAACACTACTGAGACAATATATTGTAGTAAAACATATTAGAGCTAGGTGCTCTATGAAAATGATTTAAAAGAAATGCTTTAGACCAGAGTGAGCTTGACTTTCTGCTATTCAGTGACACAACCTTTTTTTTCAGGCTGAAGCGAGAAAAAAAGGACCACAGATCAAGTTTAATAAGTGGATTCTGGTATCATAAAACCCAGATATTATTTAAACGAGGCTCTAAATTGGCCATCAAAAGGCCACAAAGCCTCATAGCAATGACCATGTCATTGATGTTGCTGAAATGTGTCCATGAGTTTCACTCTTACATGGGATGCCTATGAAATTAGTCAAATGTAACTATGAAATTTGCACTTCTGAATGCCATATAATAAATTATCTTTATAAGAAAACAACTCGCTTCCTGTGGGAGGAGCCTGTCGCCGAAGGAGCTCAACGGAGCCACTTTCAGAGTTCTGGTCTGTATATCTAATTAAGATCA